AAGGAACAAATCACCGAAGGAGGATATCTTTGTGAAGCGGACCTTGATCATGGCACCACGTTAAACAAGAAAATTAGAAATGCTCAGCTTGCACAGTATAACTTTATATTTGGTAAACTAATAATTCTCCTTGGTTTAACATTGTTAACTTTTTTCATTCTCATTTTATTTTCATTTTTATTCTCATTTTACTCTCATTTTCATCCTCATTTTATTTTCGTTTTTATTCTAATTTTCTCRTTTTCATTCTCATTTTCATTTTTGTTCTCATTTCATTTTTATTTCATTTTCATTTCACTTTCATTTTATTTTCATTCTCATTTTATTTTCATCATCATTGCCATTTTTATTTTCGTTTTTATTCCAATTTTTGTTTATTTATTTATTTATTTATTGTTTTCTTTTTCCAGTGGTCGGTGAAAAGGAAGCCACGTCGAATACGGTGAATGTTCGTACAAGAGACAACATTGTCCACGGCGAGAGATCCATCGAAGCTGTGCTGAACAAGTTTGCAACCCTAGCTTCAGAGCGCATTAGAAATAGCGAGGATGACTTCTAAACTGATATTTAATTAAAATTTTACAGTTAACTTTCTTTCTTATTGACGCCTGGTTTACTCTTGAGATTTTTGCAGAGCGATTGTCCCCGCAAGAACCGACAGCAGTTTTCAATCGACTGCGAAGGGCTTARAAAATAACTAATTTTGTTTACGCGAGATTTTTGCAATAAGGTCGCCATCTTGGATCTCTTCGGCTTGTGAATAAAAGATATGCAGTGACGCAGTTTTTGTAGGGGGAAACATGCTTGGAATGACATAAATTTTTCATGGCCGCTAAAGACGTTTTCTCGTTTCTACACGGAAAATATGAAATAACTTTTTTCTTCGAGGCTGTATTCAGTCAAAAGACTGCAGTTGCTGCTTTGCTATGCAAAATGGCGATGCTACATGTTGTGTAGTCAATAAAAACCTATGAAATGTAATACAAAATCTTAGAATATAAATAGTTTTATTTTCATAAAATTTTCTATTGAATTGTACAATGTTAAACAAGAATTTACATCCAATATGGCGACAATATTGACGAGAGGGACCTTCGTAAAGAAATATTAATTAAGGTAGGGAAAACCAAATCAGTCAAATACTAAAAATACAACACCACATAGAACATGAAATTTTACCGGTGCTGCTTAAAATTAACATTAAGTAWAAAATTAATTGCTCAAGTAGGTATGTAGTCCTCCTCGCAAAATAAAATCACACAAAATTCAGTAATGTTATTTATGTAAAAGTTGAAAATCATCATTAAAAACATGAATAGTCTTCACGGCACCATTGATTTAATTTTAATTATTTTTTTTTATAATTATTATTTAATTTATTTTATTAATATTATTTTATTTATTTATTTATCTATTTTTTTGCTGTTTTTGACCGCTTTCCATGGGCTATAGTAGTATCGTGATTATCGAGTGTTGCAACCAAGCCTTTTGATCAAAAATGGGTCATTCTTAACGATTTTGGTGGACTATAGCCCATGCTTTTTGATCAAAAATGGGTCGTTTTTAACGAGTTTCGTGTGCTATAGCCCATGCTTTTTGATCAAAAGTGGGTCATTTTTAACGATTTTGGTTGACTATAGCCCATGCATTTTCATCAAAAATCGGTCATTTTTGGCCATTTTGGTGGGCTATAGCACATGCATTTTGATCAAAAATCGGTCATTTTTGGCCATTTTGGTGGGCTATAGCCCATGCATTTTGATCAAAAATCGGTCATTTTTGGCCATTTTGGTGGGCTATAGCCCATGCATTTTGATCAAAAATCGGTCATTTTTGGCCATTTTGGTGGGCTATAGCCCATGCATTTTGATNAGTTTACAAATTATTTACAAATCCAGTAAACAAATTAACTTTTGCAGTAAATATAGTGTGTGATAAACCTTCCTGTCAAAGGACTGCATGTCGTTGATTGTAGTTACAGACAGACATCAATATAATTACCTCGAATATACTTCTTCTTATGTTGCTTCACTTCAGATTTCACATCTTCTCGAACTTCAATGCGCAAGTCATTAATCGCYTGAATCACGTGATTAGTACCGATTGTGAGTATCAGAGAGACGAAGCACTGGGGACGAGTGACGTCATAAGACTTGCAGGTGGTCGTTTCCAGGGATTGRCCGAGTAGAACAGCTTCTTTGGCCGTTGCTTCAACCAATCGACTTTGAGGTATCGCAAGACCRGGGTTTTCGATTGAAGCGTAAATTCGTTCGCCGTTTTTGACTTGACCCATTACTTTGACTCGAACCATTCCAATCATACAAACGACTTCATCTGTTTCTAAAAAAAGAAAAAAACATTTGAATATCAACTTCCATGCTCTGTCAGTGTACAAAGGATAGTTATGTTTTCCCCCCCCCAAAAAAAATGAATTAGTAAAAGATGGTTTTGAATTGAGTAATAATTAGTCTACTCTGCGAACAGTGCTACTTTTCTCCAAAGTAGCTCTGTTCGCAGATTATAATTAGTCAATCTTTCGATTTCGCTCGCTCTAAAAAAAACAAAGATTTCAGTAACTGTTGTATTTTCCACAGTTTAATCTGAAAACGATTTTAATCTTGGCAAGCGTACGCAACGTGGTCGCGCGTTGAATTTCGCAAACATTTTAATTTCGATCAAATCAGCAAATAATGTCACTGAAATTTTACGAGCAAAAGCGCCTACTCAAACACCAATTGACAATATCTGATCAGAACAATAAACAGAATCAACTTAAGATTCGACTAATTCAACGGACTAGTTTTCTCCTCAATAAGACTGACGTCATAGGAAGTGAAGTTTGTAGGCGTTTTATTTTGATCTTTTAAGATGCAAAACCACTTTGAGTAGTTTAAGTTCCGGTTTCGATTCGGCTCTACTCTAGTATACAAACTATAATTTCCATAAAAGGACACTTGGAACATCAACGCGTGACGAACAAAATTCTCTTTTTTTTCTTTTTTTTTTCTTTTCTTTTTTTCTCTTTTTCTTGCCTTTCATTTGTTTAGGCCCATGGTCAAGTGGTATTCAATATGTCTTTTTAAAGACATTTAAAAATGAAGTTTCTTGAAATATCAATTCGCTATCCGWTTCCATCCGTCGGTTTTGTCAATYCGTCGGCGGAGTCTTACAATATCTCAACAGAGCATAGAGGGATAAAATCGAGTAAGYAGTTRCTTCTAAATCTCGTAAGGGATGCTGGTTGACCTTTCGAGCTTTAGGTTATGTTTTAAAATAAAAATACATCGTAATATAAGCATTACTACTCTTTATTACCCCTATGGTATATGAATGGAATTATTGTAATATTCCGCTTTAAAAACAACGGATTGAAACGGATTACGAATGAATATTTGAAGTAACCTCATTTTTTCATATACAGCTATTTCAAAAAACGTTGTCGGGGAGAACGGCGAACGGCGATTGTCGAAGTCAGATTGCACGGCCGAAAGGGAATATGGTTACACTGTTTTGACAAACAAAAAATCACTTCTTGGATTCACCTTACATAGAAATGGAGACTAAATAGATCCAATGTTTACCACAGACCATCTTGCTGTACAAATCAGTTCCTATTGCATTTCAACTACCAAAACCCATGACTACTTGCGGTCATGCAATCGCCGTTCGACCATTGGCATTCGCCATTTTATCCGACAACCTTTTTTGAAATAGCTATATGAAAAATCTAAAACACGACCGCATTGAATGCTGGTGACTAAGGTTCTTATTGTGAAGCTTAATTGATGMACTTACCGTCGTTGTTATCTTCAATGTTGGCTTTAGCCTCGAGATACGCTGATCTGCTAATCACACCAGCCAGTTTAAACTTGTGAGCGTTAAAATGAGTTAATTTCTGGATGCACGTCTTGCCTTCCTCCGGATCCTCAAAGAAACCAACAATATCCCCCTCCTCGAACTCCTCCTCGCCGTTTAAGAGACTCTTGTCGAGCGGTAGATGATAAGCAATGTCACCACATGGTGTTAGAATAGGTTTCCTGAGTCTTAGCTCTTCAATTGTCGCTGACTTTGCCTCTAGGTGGTCTGTGATGATTTCTGAGTAGCTTGACACTATAAAATATGAGTAAAATGTAACGCTAAAGATTGACTGTGATAGTAGTTCGCTAAGACTGTTTCACAGATCGACAGTTTTCACTGATGGTTACTAAAAAATAATAGAAAACTTAATAAAAGCAATTAAAAATAAGAAAGGTGAGTTATACAGCTGTTTTCATTGAGTGAGATGCTTWCTGCGGCGTACGGTACCGCGCATGCCGAATCAGCCTTTAGAATGACTTACCATCGCTTCCAAAYCCACTACTAATACTTCCAGGAGAGCAGTCACCTAGGGCTTCTGAACAAGAACAAATATGTATTTATATGGTTTTAAATAATCGTGAAAAAAAAAGAAAAATGTCTTTTAAGACCATCCTCGGAAGATCAGCCACATTTAATATGCACGTACAGAGCTTGGCCTTCCGAGGAGTAATGATGATATTAGATTCGACTGCAGTAATTCAATAATACTATACCTCGCTTTCGTTTTCTGTGRTGTTGAGGTGAGTTATCATAGGAGTACGGTACATGATCATCGATATTTGTYGTGGTRTCGTCCAGATCCTCGCGTGATTCTACAATAAAACAGGTTGAGACTTTAGAGAAACCGGTTTGCTCGTGTCCCAGTTTAGGACGGACCTAACCCACAAAGTAAATAGTTTCATTGAAATTTCGTCCGCCTTTGTCTCTCTGACTGGTCAAATGATGCGAAAATGCTATAAGATAAAAACAATAAAGAACACATTTTCGTACGTTCTTGTTGATATAAACCACTTCGCCTCCGGCTCGAGATTTTTTACGCCTTTTTCATATTCTCCCAGTATCCTGCGTGGTTTATTTCACCAGGAACGCACGTGAAAATGTGTTGCTTATTGCTTACATTGAAAATAGGCCTACCAAATCTTGTTAAGTAAAAACTAACGCAAGTAAGTTTGTATTTGTGATCATTTTTAATTTGAGCTCGACGTTTTGACACTTTCTGGCGTCATTGTCAAGAGGAAATACATCAATATATTCCAAAAACGTAAAATTATAGGATTGAGCAAAGTCCCATGTGGATAGTCTTAGGTGAAGATTTTGGCCTTAACGGAGTCTGATTGGACGTTAAGGGATGGCTTGATCTTTTGAATGAAAAGCACCTCGTAAATGAGACAGTCCAGTTTTCATTGCTGGAGCACTTTTTTAGAATGTTAAAATTAGCGCTCAATGTTGCTACCTCTGCAAGGTCGTGGATGGCGTCGAAACGTCGAGCTCAAATTAAAAATGATCACAAATACAAACTTACTTGCTTTAGTTTTTACTTTACAAATTACAACCAAAGCCACACCTACCAGATCTTGTTGAGTTTATTTTACTCTTCACTCTAAAAYGCTTGGTAATGAATTCCTTTGTTTCTCCATTTACGAAAAAAAATAACAAGATCAACTGGAAGATRTTCCTTTCTTCTCCCTTTACTCTCGAAAGTTCGTAGACTTTTGTACCAGCAGATGTTTCGTATACACTGTCAAGGTCAACTGAAAATGTMATTTGTGTTCCGTGACTCTTTTTCCAGATAATGTTTAGAGGTACACGTCCCGTTGTGTCTTGTAGAATGCGTGCAGCTTCGGGGACTCGTTCGACGTATACGTAAGCGGCCTGTCGGAAGAAGTTTTCATTATTTTACGTACAAATTGGTTGGTTTATCTTAGATTATATAAAAATACCGGCTCCAATTCGTTCTCTGAAGTTTCTACAGTGTTCGTGAAAAACCTGTCTTTAGGAGTTTAAAGGGACATGGTATACCAGCATTCAATGCGGTCGTATTTTAGATTTTGCATATATGAAAAATGAGGTCAGTGACTTCGAATATCCATTCGCAATCCTTTTCCATCCATCGKTTTAMAGATCGAATCTTACAATATTTCCATTCATATACCATTTAAATGAATAATAAAGAGTAAGTTTTTGCTTATATTACGATATACTGTTATTTTCAAACATGAGCAAAAGCTCGAAAGGGATGGTTGTGGATCATGCCCCTTTAAATGGAAAAGAAGGTCAAAGTCGTGGCTATAATGTTATAGGGTTTTTGATAAAAATAAAACAAAAGAACGAGTGGATAAATGCAATTTGATGGTTCTTCACTATAAAAAAAACTAATTTCTGCAAGTATTTGAGTGAGGTAATGAGAAAATGCTATAGTTAAGTTATAAACAAATAAAGTTAGATTACGACATTCRAAATGTATACCTTCAACTGATGTGAGCATGTTATTGAAAAGTTCACTTCTCCATCGAGTAATCTTTGTTGTGAGTTTGCCTTTCTGCGGCTTTGACCTTTYTCATAAGAATCCTTCAGGTCTAAGACCTGAACAGAGAGATCGACAGTCTCTTGTTTGACCACGCGCTCGCAAGGAACCATGGGTATCATACCAACTGGTTCTGGTTGAGGATACATTTGATATGGATCCATGTTGATAGGATCTACAGGAAAAGGATCATTATAGTAATATCATTAACATATTCATTAATAAATAAATGATGATAAGTGAGATAAAGCCAAAGATGATTATCAGGGATTGAAATACAGATTTATCGAGGGAATGTCAATGTCGAGAATTTATTATTGTGAACTTAGAGGTGGCAAAATACGAGATACAAAAAACATCAATTGGAGCACATCTGTTCAAGTTTAGGTTCGATGTTTCTCTTTTTTTTCTTTTTTTTTTATCGCACGCGATCAACTAGGCAGGCAACATCAATTTCGATGAAAAGCAAGAAACAAAGACAAAATTTGTAGAGCGAGAGTCTACTTTGCGCAACAACTTTCTTCAAATCGCAACAGAGGATTTTTTACGTGCCAAGTTGATCGCGTGCGATGAAAACGAAAAACATCGAACTTAAACTTGAACAGAAACAATGTTTTGCGCTAAGTTGATGGTTTTTGTATCTCGTATTTTGCCGCCTTAACACAGAAGGAAGTCTTATATATCAGCGMAGCGAGAAAATTCATTCATACCACCTTAGCACTTTTGAGAAAAAATGGCAAAAAAGACTGCAAACATAAAYCACCCCAGTGTAAGTAYACTGGGTTTTGTTTTTTGGAGTCTCCACTGAAACGAGGAAGACCTGGGCACAAGAATGATATTCCATCACGAAAATAACAAGTGGCGTTGGATATCCGTCAGATCCTGTGATCCTGTTGCATGCATAGTGCTGAGGCTTTATCGCTTGCATCGCCTCACAACTATAATGTCGAAAATAGCTTATATGAATACAATATAGAGGCCTTTTTGAACCGGTTTCGTTATCTATAGATGACTTTGGGAGTTCTATTTGCGGCATTTTTGATAAAGTGAATGTGACTGTTAAAGTCAAAACACGGAATTGGATGCCTAATAGGAGGAGACAAAATAAAAGAAAGAAAGAAAGAAAGATAGAGAGTTCCATACATTTAATGGCAACAACTAATGCAATTTTCGAAGTACAGTAATTATCTTATCCAAACATTTTTAAAGTTTAAGTTAAAGACTAAATTTGTTATATCCATATTTTTTATATAATTTTGTACCAAATGACCGAGTTGCGTGACYWGTTAGTSGATTTTATGGCGTGACAAAGTAACGTGACTTTCGGGATGACTCACTCATGGTAAAGGGTTTTAACCCTTAAAAACCTGACTCTTATCATGCCTTTTTAGTTTCACTGTAAAACTTCCCTTTTGTAGGTCGGCCTAAAAACGTCTTTCGTGTKCTGGTGCCGGATTCCTGTTTGTTTTTCKTATTTAACGACTTGAAAAAACAGGATTCGATGTGTACGTGCGACGGGCACTCGTAAAGCACACTTTTCGCMGATCAATGCACACGTTCAAAGATTAAATTTAAGTACCTACAGTCAATTCCATTCTTTATTAAAATGTTGTCCAGGTTGTAATGACATAAAACAACAGTAATGTTATGTGCATATAATTCCAGGATTCCAGAGAAAAYTAAATATTGACATTAAAAAGAAGTTGTGCAACTTGATGTTGAGTTTTCTAGTAAAGAAATATAGTTGACGATATATGCAAATGACTTCGTTGTTACATTTATGTCTTTACAACTGAACAGATATTCAGGCTGTGTAATATTCTAAGCAAAAATGTATTCAAAATATCAATAGTAATTATCATAATCATTAGTAATC